TTTTTTAAAGTGTGTAATTCCTCTTTTAGATCTTGCAAGAATTTCCTCACCTCCTTGTCTCCTTTCTCCTGCCTCTTCCACAGTTCATTGTCTCTCTTCTCTTCCATCTCTGTTAGCTTCATCACTGAATATTCTAAATTCAGACATTTCCATGATTTCCATTGAACTATCTATGGATGAAGAAGAGTTATTTTTTTCCCCTTGAAGAAGAGATATTTTCTTGCTTTCCCATATTTCTTGTGGTCCTATGGTGATTTCTAGACATCTGATAAATGGTGTGTTTCATCCTAATTCCTGAAGTTTAATCTGAGCATTCAGGAGTGTGCAGAAGGAGGTGATCTGGAATCTCTTTGCCGTTCTGTTTTTATCCCTTTATGCAGCAGATTCAGTGGATATTGAGGAATATGTTAACCCTAATAGTATTTGGATGTTTGGCTATGGTTCCCTTAGATTCATCTAGAAACACAGAGAATGGAAATTCAGGAGAAGAGTGATGAGATAAAAGAAAAAGAAAAGGAAACAGAGAAAAAGAGGAAAAAAAGAAAAAAAAGGAAAAAAAGGAAACAGAAAAAGAAGAAAAAAAATTTTTTAATTTATTTTTTTAAAAAGGCAAAAAATAAACTGTGTGGTGCACAAGTGCCGTGCGAAATCACTAGTTCTCAGGACTTTTTAGAAAACTCCATGGAGGAGTTCTTCTGAAGGCCTGACCCTTGCTTCTCCTGATGAGTGGAGGAAAGGGGATTATTAGCGAGATAAAGGCGGGGCTGAAAGCGAGAGAATATTTTACCTTAAAAAAACATTTAAAGGAAAAATTACAAAAAAAAATGAGAAGACAGAGGCAGAGAGAGACAGACACAGAGACAGAGACAGAGAGAAGGTGTGAGGGGCTCCCTACCACTCAAGTTTGTGGGCTGGAAGCTAAATTATCAGTAGAAAATTTTCATTTCTTTTTTTGTCTCTAAAATCACTACTTCTCAGGAGCCATGAGTCTTCTTCTGAAGGCCTGCCCCTTTCCTCCAGACAGTACATCTTATCTTTACACCTACTGACAAGGGTTCTTCTGCCTTGATGACAACAGGTATTAAACTCAGGACAAACACATCTAGCAGTCTCTCTCAGCCATGTTCACACATTCATTGACACTCAGAAGGAAACATAAGTGTTCGCTACTGAATGCAACAGCTCCACACAGAAACAGAGTTGGTCCTCCATACCTACGAGTTCCACATCAAAGGATTCAACCAACTACAAACCAAAAATAAGTTAAAAAAAAAAAAGGCTGTCTCTGTACTGAACATACACAGACATTTTTCTTGTTGTTATTCCCTAAAGTACAATACAGTATAACAACTACTTAAATAACATTTATATTGTCCAACATATTAGAAGTAATCTAGAGATGATTTCCTTTCTAGGAGGATGTGAGGTTACATGCAAATACCATGCTATTTTATATAAAATGGTGCCCATTTGAGCACCCATGAGTTTTGGTATCTGCAGAGGGTCCTGAAATCAATCCCTTGCAGGTACCAAAGGATGACTGTACTCACTGATGGATATGATTTGCTATAAGGCCAGACCATCCAAAGAAAAACAAAGACCTACAAAGTTTTCTAACAGTACACTTGTTCAACTATTTATAAATAGCATTTTTCAAACAGTAAGCTGTGATCCATTAATATTATAAGATCGATATAACAGTTTGTAAACCTGCATTTAAAAAAAAAAAAGGCAAAACAGAAAATATCAGCATGCAGGGTCTAGCCTCACAGTGCAGCAATTAAGTTCTGTGGGTGGAAAGCCAGATTCCAGGGGACCAAACATGGTTTGAATCCCAGCCCCAGTGGCATGAAAGCACACTGGGCCTACATGGATGTGTGCCCTAAATCCTGATGAGATGAAGAAACGGAGGAAAAAGGGGTGTTGTTTTTTCTCTCTTTCTCTCTGTAGTGAGCACACATGCCCTCTGGCAATTAAAGGAGAGCCAAAAAAAAATCTCACCATGCATTATACAAAGGTTAAGGCTATTTTGTAATACTTTTGTTT